ACTGTAACAGAGTACATGAATGTAGGAACTGGACTGTGGAGCCATGTACAGGAGTTCTGGGTTAAAAATTGTATTCAAGTAAAAAAAAATACTGTAAATACAAGCCATTATATCATACCTCTATTAACAGGCAGCTGTTATGAAGCTTTGGCTCAAAGCTGACACTCAAGGTCCCCTTAAACAAACAGACAAACAGTGATGGGAATTGCTGGCCTGGCCTTTAGCAGCCGATTCAGGAATATTCCCGGACAGGTTCTCACTCACTGACTTTCCCCACTAATTCACACCATTTAACAGGCATTAGAGCTGACAGTGACCTTGAGCTGTGGCTTAGCACTTAGCTGTTTTTTTTCCACATTGCTAGGAAACAGGGGACATGGCATGAAAAGTAGCCGACAATTGCATCGAACCCAGAAATAAATTCACCCAAAAAAAGAGGTATAATGAACTGTAACAGCATGTTCATTTAAAAAAATACAAACCTTATTGTGATTTCATTGGATAAAATTAGATGACCCACTTCAGTAAAATTGTACAGTGTAGACACAACCATAGAGTAAATAAGAGCAGCTCACATTACAGTGACACACATGCCTTTTGTATAACCCTGTTGTGTAGGCTAAAGATGGCCATGAAGCACCAGTCTTTTCAGCTTTATAAGGTTTATCTAAAATCTGAAAGTGCTGTAGGGATGAATCTCACAAGATCAGAAAACGGTGTTCCCAGCAAGCCTAGCAGTGCTTTAAACAAGCAGCTTTCTGTTTAGAAAGGTTATTCTTATCACTGAGGCACTCAGCCCACTCATATGGAGGATGCACATGCCTAACTAAAATGGGTTGAAACAGAAGTTAAATAAAGTTTGTTCTTTGGAAGAAAGCTGAATTCCATTTAAACCTCTCTGAACTCTTGTTGTGAATGCCTTGTATGGTTCTTTTAATGACTAAAGATAGCCAGGTGAGCAAAGAGGTAATATAAACATTTGTACAGTTGCAATTCTTAATTCTTCAAGAGAAAGAAAGTAACAACTTGAAGTGATAGACCCAAGGCAAGGCATGCAAAATTGGGTAAGGTGTATTGTCACACATGAAACCACATCAATGTTTTAGAAACAACAACAAAATCTGAAGCACTTAAGACAATACGATTCAAAAGCGATTTTCTTCTTTTTTAAATTAAGAACAACTGGATTCAATTTGATTTAGATTTGATTCAAAATTTCAAGTTTCTTTAAGAAATATATGCTAATATGCTTTAGAAGTATTAAAAAATAGCTGATCAGAATGATCTGGCTATAGCATGCTTCTCAAAGAGGACATCATTCTCTTTGTCTACTCACTTCAAGTCAGAGGTTCTCAATCTGGGGTTCACAAGATAAAAAGGAGGATTTCACAGGCAGGAGGGTGAGAAAAAAGGTCAGTATTTTGAATATTTCTGAGAAGGATTTCTCATAAACATGATATTTCATAACGTTATAGTGCTGGTGCCACCTCGGCTGCTCAGCTGTGTTTTCCAAGTTCAAGTTTTTACAGCCTGCTGTGTATTTTTCTAAATGAAGAGCTTTGATTGTGTTCACTGCAACACCTCCTGCTTCATAATTCACCATCATCTCTCTAGTATAAATGTTACTCTAAGAGAAATCAGAAAGTCACTAGTAGGTGAGTTATGAGTTATGGCACAAGTACACAGAGTAGCAGTTTAGCAGCAGGGCCTTTAACTAACTTCTAAGTATAACAGAACTGTGTGATTATTAGCTGACTACTGTACAAAGCACCCACAGAGCATTAGCTTGTCAAAGTCTGCAAAAATTAAATTAAAACTAAAAGAGAATTCTGTTATTTGGTTCATTTATGATTTGTAAATCTCTAAGGACAATATCACATGTATTTGTTTTAACAAATTTGTCTTGATAATAAATCCTGTTTCATTTGATTCTCAATGCTACGCATACACAACATTGTTTCTGACCTATGCAAACAATTCAATATGATTTGGTTTTCTTTTTCAATCAATGCAATTGCATCAGGAGGAATCAAACAACACTAATCAAATCAATTATTACACTACTAATAACTGTTCTGTTTGAAGGCTTTTGACTGACTACACTCAGTGGCAACTTAATTAGGTACACCAACCTTGTATCTACACAGTGTCAATTTTTGACAGAGGTGCACTTTGTAGTTGTATAATTACAGACTGTAGCCGTTTCTCATCATAATCTCTTGGCCCCTTTTATCTATCCGCCTGTCTGTCTGTTTTCTTTTGGGGGGGGGGCATTACTGGTCTCACACTGTCCACAACTTCATTTACTCATTTGACGCTGTTCATTAATAGTCTGGATCCACACACTGACATGGTGACCTCTTTGTGTTGCAGCAGTGTTGCAGGAGTTTTTAAACTACCTGTGTCACTACTGAACAGTTCATCAACCAAAAATATGTAGCCAAAAGTATCCTGTGGCCAGAAACAGACTACTGATGAAGGACTAGAAGACGACCAACACAAACAGTGCAGCGAGAGTTCAGTAATCATCTCTTAACTACATCTGCAAGATGGACCAAACAAGGTAGGAGTGTCTAATAGAGTGGACAGTAAGAGTACCAAGTTTAAAAACTCCAGCAACACTGCTGTGTCTGATCTACTTATGCCAATGCAACACAATGTAACTGCAGTGCTGAGAAAGATCTAATACCCAAATAATACCTGCTTGGAGGTAGTCATGTAGGGGTCTTGACCAACGGTAAAAGGAGACCAAAAAAGGATGCAGAGAAACAGACAGACTACAACCTATAATTCTAGATTGCACCTAAGTAGACTGAATTAAATGGACCATACTAAAGCCGTGCCAAACTAAAATAGTTCTCCATTACAACTAAGAAGTATTACTTGACAAATACGTGCCATACCAACAAGTGTGCTAGGTCAAAATGTTATTTAACAAAACTACAAAACAGAAGTAATTTTTTATATCATACAGAGCAGAAGCTTCCTACAGTCTACTCTTTATAGAAATTTTATTTGTATCATTCACTTGATTCATGTCAACTTGGTGAGATATGTATTTAAAGATTCTTTATTTGTTTGCTGAATACACAGTAGATGGTACCCATCACATTCACATCACAGCAAGATTTGTAAAACCACGTCATGGAAAAAACGTAGGCCAACATCAACACTTCCTAATTTATGACGGACTGTGGGCTAAGGGACGTGCCCATGACAATGTCAACACTTTATGGTGTGCAGTTGCTCACTAACATCCTACTTTTAAACATGCAGATAGGAAAAATGGTTATAACATTTGGCAAATGCCACCTGATGACTGTACTGGTGCCATGCTAATGGAAAGTTACAATGATTCATGATAAGGCTGCTAGTGGTGAATTTAGCACTTGTTTCTTTCTCATGTCACTTCACTTCAACTTAATTTGTATGAAATGCAACAAAATCACACATTTACTACAAATTCATGATTGGGTGGTAGAGGGAACTCCTTAAAAGGGCAAAAACAAATGTACATGGAAGAATGTTCATGTGGGAGAATTTTTCAGCAAAAAAATAAATGACTTTTGATATTAAACTGATTGAACTTCCTAAAGAATGGCATCCTTGAGTTTTCTGGCACCAATAATGTTGAAACAGAAGTATACAACTCCAGATAAGACTGATGAGAGCATGTACGGTGTGTCCTCAGATGGACTAAACTAATCTTTTCCTTTCCTCTTGGCCCTCTCAAATCACCTCCATTTCCTGCAGCAGTAGGTGATCCACTTCCATCTCTTTGGATGGAACAAGTAAAAAGCTCCAGCCACCTTGCCTCACCATGACTTTTGTGTGTCAGTATAATTGTCCTGATCTAGGGTATATTATCTCCTGAAAGGGCTTTTGGAGGAGGAAAACAACAAGGCTATTTTCCCCTCTCCACACGTCTCTTTCATTCGCGTTGGTTCCCAAGCACGGGGCGACAGTGAGGTTCTTACATCACAGCGGATGCACAAACATCTCAAGGCCAACATGCACAGGAGCCCCTTGTCCTTATATAACCATATGTTTTCTCTACAATCCAGGTCGATGTACCAAAAAGCCTGTCAGGTAAAAGGGTCCAGTGACATCACCAATAACCACCCAAAGGGTCATAGGTGGGATTCCCAGAGGCCCTCTTCTATTATGCCAGATTAAAGTTAATCAAATGTTCCTTATTGTGAGCACAACCTGAACATATTAGGTGAGCCTCAACTCAGTATCTCTTACCAGGCAGCAAGGCAATGGTTGAAGGTGAGCACAAACCTGACCTAAAAAACATCTTGCCAAAAGCTCACTTGTGAATGTGACCCAAAGCTTACTTTATTTATTTACATATTTTATTTCTCAATTGATTTCTGGGCGGCATAAATATAGTATGACCTTAGTATGTCATCTACACCATGTTGTTGGTTATATTTGGGTGACACTTTATTTTGAGTGGTCCTTTTAGATGATACAAACACTCACCAGACTCAAACAAAAGGGTTAGGATTAGATTTTGGGTTGAGGTTAAGGTTAGGATTAGGGCCAGGGTTAGGATTAGATTATGTGTAATGGAAGTAACATATTAACAATATACCTACTTAATGTAAGTAATGTATCAACAGTACATCTACAAAATATTTACTTCAATGTATTCAGATGCCTCACTACTGCTACTTCACTGATATGTTGATGATGTGTTACTGAAAATCTGTTAAGAGGGAAAGACATTCCAAACGTGACCTTTTTCCCCCCTCTTCAATCTCTAGGCCAGTGTGTAAACAGTGTTGGAGCACAAAAAAAGGCACCATCACAATTAGTCTCGGCAATTCCCATTTCCCTATTTTCTCCTTTTTCAACACACACACACAAACACAGCATACGCTCTCAGGGATAAGGGCAGAGAAAGAACTGGAGCGTGATTGGCCAAAAGGATGGATGATGCTTTCCCTTCTGCACTATATAAACCCCCTCCTACCGCTCTATAACCAGACTGCTGATAAACTCTCACAAAAGGAGACACTATTCACAGGATATTTATCTCTTCTTTTGGGCTTACAATGTGCAGAGGACTAGCAGCACTACCAAATACTTGCCTGGAAAGGTAAAGATTTCTGTAGTTGTCTGTGAGCTAGTTTATTTGTTAGGACTAGTTCACAGTATATGATGTATTTATTACTTTTGTACACTTTAAAATTGATCTTTTTATTGTCATGTAAATAAATCAGTACGACAAGATTTTGGTATGACATTTCTGTGTTATATAAGACAATGAAAATGTATGTGTCTAAAGAATTTTATATGCGCATCACAGGGCTAAAGGATTAAAAGCACGCATGAGCAGCTTTCTGGACTGGAGGCTGCTGTGCTATGCCTACAAATTGAGAAAACCAAGGTACAGTTACATTCTGCACATGATATTTATTCCATGTATCTTACATAAAGACAAAGCTAACATTTATACAGGCTATGCCACAGCACTAACCAGACAATGTCTTCTTTTGCAGACTGACTTTGGAGGAATGCTTGAGGTGGAAAGAATCTTTTGACAAGCTACTGTCCAGCAAACGTAAGTATGATATGCAAATAAATGCACACTACCTACAGAAATAATTCTTAAAAAAAAAGATTTTTTGATGCTAGAAAAACTGTGCAGATTAAAGGACCTTAAAGCATTGTGCCTTAGCAATGACATTCTGTGTTAAGACAGAGCTAAAATAGGATGAGTAGAATGTGCAATGGAGTGTGGGTAAAAATCTAATCATAGTAATGGGGTTGCAGTGCACAGATGTGTCTGTACTGTGCTGTCTAATATGTGTGGGATGCACTAAGCTGATGCAGCATGTTACACAAGTAATCTCTTTCTCCCCCCTCCATCAGATGGACTATATGCCTTTAGAGCTTTTCTGGTGTCTGAATTCAGTGAGGAGAACATTGCCTTCTACCTGGCCTGCGAGGACTACAGAAGCACAAAGTCTGCAGCCAAGCTCTGCTCCAAAGCCCAGAGGATTTACAATGAGTTTATCGGAAGTGAAGCACCAAGAGAGGTGAGGAACGCTCACGCAAAATTCATTCTTCCACAAATTTCCTAGCAGTGGGGCTTGTAGCTGAATGTATATTTCATGCACAATGCCAGGATGGATTAAACTCACTTTGCTTCTTCCTCCTCTCTTCCAGGTTAACATCGACCATGAGACTCGAGACATTACCCAAGCCAATGTGAAGAGCCCAACTCCAACCTGCTTCGATCTAGCACAGTACCGGATCTACATCCTGATGGAGAAAGACTGCTACCCGCGTTTCCTGCGGTCATCCGCCTACAGAGATTTAGTCAGCCAGTTGACCAAGAAGAACACCAAGGCTGCCACGAAAAAAGCCTGAAAGACCTTAGCCACCAGGAGCCTAAAAGAAGAATAATAGAAAGAGGTGATGTCATGAAAGAGGTGTCCGTCTGATGAAGAAAAGGGCCAGACAGGGAGTTGTGGTGGTCATTACAGATCCTAAACAGGGAGAGCAGGCCTGTAGTGAATAAAGACGACGACGGCAGCTCAAGGTTATAAAGAGTAGCAGGATGGAGTGGAAGAAGACTACCATTCTACCACAATTGTGTAAATGGATTTGAAAAAAGTTGAGGAGAAGACCGTGTAGCATCTACATCACAATCAAAGAAGATATGCTGATGGAACTGTCCCATCTCGCATATGCAAATAAGCTTGTTAAGATTTTTCTGTTAACACTGCCATTTTTAACAGGGAGTTCTGTTAAACTATATTTATTTATTTATTTATTTCCTTTTTCACTTGCAAACTGCCAGTACACTGCTGTGATTCTTAAAAAAAACACTCTTTCTTGAGAGGATGCGTGCAATATTTTCTTTTGAACTTGCTGTACTCTATCAAAAACAATTTAATAAAATTTCAATTCAGATATTGTCATGACATTTTGCATTTTTGCAGCATGAAAAACATACAGGTCACACAAACAAACATCAACTACACAAGAAAGTAAAGGTGAAACTGAGACATATGCAATTAAGTTTGGTAAAGCCTATATATTCTATCCACGCTATTTCTATCTTCTTTGAAGCCACACAGAAGTACATGAGTAATTTTACTGCAATGTGAGACACCATACCAGACATTTCACCCTGTGGTAAACAAGCTCGTAATGACGGAGCAGCTACCTTCTTTCATATTAAATCTCCACTGCTCAGTGGCAGAATAGATCATACAGTGTGGGTTTACAGAGTCACCAAGGCAACTGTTTGGGTCTGGTTTCCAAAGCAGAGAACAGACCATTTCCTCACTTCTCTTCTCAGCCTTCCCTCATACAGACATCAGTGAGAAAACTAGTGATTGAATGCTAATTCTTGGAAACAGGAAATCCATTTGATAAGGTATTTGCGTATTTGAAAGCACAATAACAAAGGCTTGCTTGTATCTGTGTTTGCTCAAACAATAACTCACCAGTAATTAAAGAAATAAAGCTGTCATTTCCAGGGTTTGTCTATAAGCAAACATGTCATGAAGAGATCATCAAACTGAGTTTGTAAACCGACTTTTTATGCATGGACTGAGTCCAATTATCACAACAGTGATTGATCACATCATCAATTTGAAGAATTAATCATTTTAACAATAATGTTAGTTCTGTCTACAACAGCCATACAACATGGATAAAATGCTTAGACATTACTAATCAGTATCTGTGAATATTTCAATTTCATCAGCAAAGAGCACAGCGACAGATGGTGCAGTGGACATAGTTGTAATATTCAGCCTTCACCACAATGAGAACAATGAGAGCAGTCTATGGCCTAGATGCCATGTGTATTATATGTAGGTTTCAACCAGCAGTTCAGATGTTCCAGTAGATTACACTGTATACACATCTTCGAAAAGCCAGAATGGTAATTCGTCATTTTGGTAATTTGATCACTGACAGAATGACTTTAAATATGATAAAACAGAATGTCTGAGCTAACAGTTATGTAAGGCATGTAAAACAGGAGTTACAGGTGCATTTTAAACACAACAGTAACCAGTTGAACAAGCTGAACATAAATTAGAAACTAAGTTAGAGTGTAAAGACTAAGTCCTAAACCACACCGAGAGTAGTTAGTTTAAGCCCTTAAAATCCAAGTCTTATTGCATACTAAGACTTATTATTCAGTAACTATAAGGGATTTCAGTTGCACCATAAACACTTAAGGTAACCAGTAGTGTGTAAATTAGATAAAAAATTGCTGCACAGCATGATTTTCACCATCTGCAGCCAATCACTAACACTATTCTCCATAGACAGTGGATTCTACAGTCATGATCTTGACATAGTAAGGTGAATAACATTCATCTTGTAGTATTATATAGATAAGTTAATTCTGGTAAAGTATGGCTGAGATGGGCATTTCAAGCTATTTTATAGTCAAGCATTCGAAGGAGTAGAATAACCAATAACTCAAAAATTAGAAGAGAGCAGTCTGACAAGCATATGAAATTTAGAAACTGCTTTTATTTCTGTTATTAGCATGTAACAACAGGAACAGTTTTTATATGGGAAGTTAGGCTGTTAAAAAAATAAATGATCACTGTATAGCCTATGTTGAAAAATTACCCTAACTTCTGTTTAACCTAAGAGCTACTCACCAGCAGCAAGTAGTTTCTCTGGACACTGTCACAATAAGTCTTTTGGTGCAAGATATATTCATTGGTTTAAAAAAAAAAAAAGTTTTTGAAGTTTATAGGATGCTGAAAAGTTATTCAAGAATTTTGTTTGAAGGCACTGAGCCACTTTTTCTCACGGCTCTGTTTTGCTTCAGCACCACTGTTGACAACCATGATTGGTCAGAGAGTTCATACAGCCGGCAAAAGATTACAAAAATCAAACAGAGCGCAAATGAAATAATGTTGCATTTTCACTGTCTGAAAAATTGCATTTGGTGTGTAAAATATTATCAGTTACATATGTGCTTAAAGTAATTTATTGTCATTTGAATAAATCAAAAGGGGAAAAAAAAAAAACATGTTTGGTGTAAAGGCCATTAGACCGGCTATCATCTCTAACTAATTTTCTCAGCTAGAAGATCAAATAGCTGTTGATATCTTCTTGCTTTTCAGTTTCTTTAGATATGAGATAATCTACTTGTTTGTGTCCATCTTTCTACTACAAGAAGACAACTCAAAATGTGGGTCTGAAAGGATGTGTAGCTGTAGCTGAGAAAAGGAAATAGACCAACAAAAAAAAAAGAAAATCTGCAAATCAAACAAAGAAGCTGACTGCATTCTCACCCTAGAATCCACAACTCAACATGGCTGAATGTGTTTGAGATTACTTGGATTGAATGAAGCAGAACATGCAACTAGCTTCTAAGACTGAATTTTGGAGGTGTGGAAAAACTGAAAGTCTCCTGAAAATAATGAAAAGTGTAATAAAGGCAAAGATGGACACTACATACTGAAAGATTTATAGTACTTTTAGTTGTTATTGCTTTTATGTAATTTATGTTTTCTGCTTTTTTCTAATGCTGAAAAATAAACAACTTGTACTTAATGGGCATTTTGACTAGAAATTAAATACACAAAAAATAGTACAGTATGATCAAACAGTTACGCCATTGTTCCATCTTTCCAAACATTTGCGCACCTTCACTTGCTTATAATGAAAATGCAATATCATTGAGGTAAGTCATTCCCTAAAACGTTAGCAAAAACACAGGATTGAGTACTTTCTATCCAGCAAGAATTTCAAAATGAATCCTAGTCTGACAAGCCCTGGCCTGCAAGTATCTCATTATCTGTAACATGAAATAACTGACAGCACTATAAGGACGAGTTAAATATGGTGGAGGATTCAATTCCTTTGTTTCCTTTTGCTTTTTATTTCATACACAAGGATGTACAGAGAGACTTTGAAATACAGAACTCTGCACTTGAAGACCACTTGCCACTAATAAAATGAAGAACATGTAAAAGACAAAGAAATTGTTCAATTAAAAAAAAAGACAATGCCAATGGAATGTGTTAACACCTTAAAATCCCAGGCCTATTACATTCTAAGGCTTACTACTGAGTCACTACAGGGACTTCAGTGCAAACTTGTTGAGCTATTTTTAGGTTCCAGAAGTGTGTAATAAAAGTTAACTGAGTGTAATAGGTGTGAATGATCATTTTTATTCCAGATTTTCTTTTATTTTCTGCAAGCTATGTTAGTCACTTAATACCATGATACTGCAAAACTGTAATAATTTCTGACTCAATCATCGTATCGTGTAGATATGTAGCACTCCTAGTCCTATTTACAGGGCCTGCAGCAGCCACAGAGACCAGATCTTTTCCTCTGACCGTATGTTGTACTGACTCCTGCCCAAATGTTGAGGAGAATTACTCCAAGTGTTCTGACTTAAAAATCACCCCTCTGCCTTAAAACTTTCATAACTGAGCCCCCATCTATTTATGTGGCAGTTAACCGAATAATTTGCAAGTACTGGAATCATCACCCACAGGACATTCAGTTCTCTCAGTAATTATTACTAAAAGATTTCAGGGTGTTTAAGGGATTGTTTTTTGTGAAGACAGCCTTTTTTTTTGTGGAACAACATTGCCTCCCAGTGGGTAATAAGCAATATAGCACCACCACCACAGAACAAACAGGCATTCCAAAAAAGGGCACTTTTTCACATAATGGTGTAATTTTGTAATTTCTATGATAATTGTATTTTTTTTTTTATTTGTTTCAGTATGTTAAACAATGTATGCCACAAATAAAACACAAAACCGTTTCAGTGATGCACAAAATGTAGCCGTGATAGACTACTATACTGCTACCAGTATGCTAGAGAATATACTTTAAGGTACTATTACTGTTCTATAAATCGCTTAATGGTATAGAACTTGCATATTTATCTGATGTGCTGCAGCAATATGCAAGCAGAACTCTCAGACCATTAGGAACTAGTCAGTTAGTTTTGCCTAACGTAAGACTAAATATGGAGAAGCAGTGTTTAGCTCTTGTGCTGCTCTAAAATAGAACCTCTCTGTTGACAGAGAGCATTAGACACATTGAAATCCAGGCTGAAAATATTCCTAATTAAGCAGACTTTCAGCTCAGTTTAAAATAGTTAGCTCTACTGCACGTCTTGGCACTTTATTATCCTCATTTAATTTTTAATTTGATTTTAATTTAATGATTAACTTCTCTTTTAAAATCTATTGTTTTAATCAAGTTTTAATTGTTTTTAATTTCTATGTGTGTTCCATTTTAATTATAATTTAAGTTATCTTTGTATTTTATCATTTATAAAGCACTTTGAATGACTGCAGTGCATGAATAGCGCTACATAAATAAACTTGCCTTGCCTCAATGTATCGCAAGCACTATACTCTGTTTCATCTGTCCAGATCTGTCAGCATAAAACTCAAGACAACATCTGAAATATTAACAATAGTTTACATTAACTAAGTGTATAGTCGCCGTACTAGCAATCCCAAAGCTAGTTACCTTGAGTGTCTGCCTACCAAGTGATAACGATCATGTGGGCCTAACTAATACACAAAAAAGAACATATATAAATCTATATAAACTACATAAACTGGAGGACACTTTCTGCTGGCTTGAAGCATAATGGAAGAAGATCCATGTTAATTTGACAACTTCTCAAAGTTTTGAATGCCTAAACGCCCAGTGTGGCAATGCAATGTAGAGTTGTATTGCATCAGGTAATTATTTTGTGCTGATTAGGATGGAGTCCAAATTTAGAACTTCTTTGGCAGTTTAACTTGACAAATGATTTTGTATACACAAGTCAATATACACCCACTAAGCACTTTATTAGGAACAATTATTCTGGGTAGGGCCTCACTTTGCTCTCAAAACTCTCATGCTTTGTGGCATGGATTCAAGATGATTCAGGTCCATGTTGACATGATTCA